AGGAAAGTTGGAGGGGGAGAAGAGAGGGTGTATGGGGGAATGAAGTGTTATGTTGGGTTTTTTTTTTTTTTTCCTTTTTTCTTTTTTTTATGCACAGTATATAAGTGATTGTATAAAATGAAAATGAAAATGAAATAAAAATATCCAGTCATAAAAAAGTCCTGTTGATAAAAAAATATTTCAACTAAAAAAAGTTTTCAGAAAACAGCTGACCTTGTGCTTAGGGAGTATCCTCAAAAACTGCAAAGCTGTGATAAAAGAGGACCTTTTGTGAAACCTCGGGGGGGGGGGGATCAAGCATTCTCCCCACAATGGATGATTGGCTGCAAAAGCTGATGGAGTTAGCAGAGATGGCTAAATTGACTGCTTTAATTAAAGAAAACAACCAACCTCGTTTCTACTTGGAAACCGCTTCTGGACTTTGTACTTGAGGTGGAAAAAAATAAAACATTGATTTTGGGTTTTATCAATTAGATAGGTTTGTTGTTTATAGAAATGTCTAGTATATATTATTATGCAAAAGTAAAAAGTTGAGGCAGCTGTTGTTATTTTATTTTACTGTGCTAAAAAGTCAGAAATCAATGCTTTTCTTCCCTTTCCCTTTTTTATCCTATTCTTTTTCCTCTTTCCTTTTTCCTCTCTTATTTTCCCATTATTTTCATTTCTCTTTGTAGTTTATACTTCGATAAAGTAATGCCAATTTGTCAACAGAAGGAAAAAAATCAAATTATGCTTCACCAGAAATAAATGCATCAGTAGAAAATGGAGATTACTGTATTTTTCGGAGTATAAGACGCTCCAAAGTATAAGAGCCACCTAGCTTTTAGGGAGGCATTTCTATAGGCATTTATAGTTATTGACTTACCTCCTTGCAGCAAACAGCAAACAGCCTGTTTCACTTTCAGTTTAAGCAGGGGCCTGTTTCAGGCTGCAGGGATTGCCATAGCCTATTGCTGCGCCCCTAAGCCCCATTTTCTGGTTTGCTGCAAGGAGATAAATTGCTGGGAGGCAGAGGCCAAAGAGTTGGGCGGGGCTACATTCAGTGTATAAGACGCACCCAAATTTTCATCCTCTTTTAGAGAGGGAAAAAGGGGTGTCTTATACTCCGAAAAATACGGTAGATTGTTTAAAATGAAGGCCTGGGGATAGGATTAAAAGATTTTTCTCTTGTTCTGCAGGTGACAGACAGGAGAATAGGCTTAAAGTGCAGAATTTTCAGGGTGGAGAAGATGCAGAAGAGATGTGCGGGAGAGACCCTGTGACAAGCCCTGACAATCTGCCATTAAAAGCCGAGATGGAAGAAGAAAGCTGTGATTCCGATCAGCAGAGATGGAGGCCACCGCTGGAAATTGAGAATACAAGCAACGTGCTTGAAAAGGATCTTACTGTTACAGAAAAGACCAACAAGGGTAAAGTGTCCATGTTCTCCCAATATGATAAGAGGTACCTTTACCAGGTGGAACTGAATCCAATACCTTCTGCGGAGAAATTGGAGCAACATCCTCAGAGATTTGAGGACAGCTACCAGCGTACTTCAAACATGAATCAAGAGGAAAAAGATATCATAAGTGAGCAAAGGGTTGAAATCTCCGAGAACGGAATAGAGAGTAACGCAAATGCTTATCTGAGTAACAATCTCAGAGAGACACATAACAATTCTCCCGAATCCGGGAAAACCATGACTAACCCAAACTCACTAAGCAGATTTCCGGTGTGCAATCCCGAAGAGGAATGGTA